TTTGAGATGGAGTCTTGTTCTGTTGCCCCTGCTGGAGTGCAGTGGCGCAATCTCGGCTCACTGCAAGCTCTGCCTCCCAGGTTCAAGCAATTTTCCTGCCTCAGCCTCCCGAGTAGCTGGTACCACAGGCACGCGCCACCACGCCCGGCTAATGTTTTGTGTTTCTTAGTAGAGAGAGTTTCACCGTGTTAGCCAGGATGGTCTGGATCTCCTGATCTTGTGATCCACCTGCCTCGGCCTCCCAAAGTGCTGGGATTACAGGCGTGAGCCACCGCGCCCGGCCACTACAGAACATTTTAAAAACTAGCTAGGCCTGGTGGCGCGTGCCTGTGGTCCCAGCTACTTGGGAGGTTGAGGCAAGAGTATCGCTCAAGCGAGCAGGAGGTTGAGGCTGCAGTGAGCCGAGATCGTGCCAGTGCACTCCAGCCTGGGCAACAGAGTGACACCTTGTCTCTCCAAAAAAAAAGGAAGTGAGACTGACAAACCACATCTCCACAGTGGGCTCTGCAATTGCATTTCCTTCTATGTCTGGCTGAGAAAGCCCGTCCCTGGCAAGTTTAGAAGCTTTGGAGGGCTTTGCAGGTTTGAGCTTAAATCAGTGAGGAGCTCAGAGTCAGCCTGACCCTTGCTCCCCTGTGCTGAGCGGCCACATGTGCAGGACTCTCTTCTTTCAGATACTTCTGCCCCTAAAGCCATCCCTCTGGCATCAGCCCTCAATGGTCAGACCTGGACTGGCTTCCACCAGACCTTCCCGCAGCCTGTCCTGTGGGTCTTTTGTGGAGCAGACCAGCTTCTGTCCGCTGTCCTGCCTCTCCTGTGTGCAGCGCCCTGTTTCTCTGGACGCCCTGGGTTGTCTCCAGTGTGGGATCCACTCCTCCCCTCGGCCCTCCTGGGCCAAGGTCCACTGACCCCTTCTGCGCGGATTGTCTGCACTGTGTGCTGGGTCTGAGTTTCCCCCACTGGTTTTCTTTATGTTAGTTTTATGTCTTCCAATGAAATTCTTAGTTCTTTGAAGTAGATTATAAAATATCAATATTTCCAGGCATGAAAGGGACAGAGGGTGGGGTGGAGTGGGTACTGGCCGGGGCGCTGAGCAGAGGGTGGGGTGGAGCGGGTACTGGCCGGGGCACTGAGCAGGGGGTGGGGTGGAGCGGGTGCCGGCCGCAGCGCTGTCCACAGGGCGTTCTCCTTTGTGTCGCTGTAATTCATGTGGAACTATTTTGGATCTAGGAGCTTCTACTTGGCCCTCTACAAGCAGATGAGCTTCCTGGAGAAGCGAGGCTGCCCGCGCACGGCGCTGGAGTACTGCAAGCTCATTCTGAGGTGAGTGTCCGCTCAGGGCCAAGCCCGCCCGTGCTCCCTGTCCTGGCTGCAGGCCAGCCTGATGGTGCCCGTGTTCCCCTTTGCTCTGCTCTCTGCGCTGCCTCTGGAAGTCTGGAGCCGGACGAGGACCCCCTCTGCATGCTGCTGCTGATCGACCACCTGGCCTTGCGGGCCCGGAACTACGAGTACCTGATCCGCCTCTTCCAGGAGTGGGAGGTAGGTGCGAGGCTGGTGAGGTCCCGTGGAGGGACGGACATCTGCTTCTTCTGTTTTCTTGGTTTGGTGTCTGTGTGCTCAGGGGACAGTTTGGGGATGAAATGGTCATCGTCCGAGGAAGAACCCCGTCCGCCCGCCTTGTTTTCTCCCTTGCCGCCTCCAGGGAGTGGAGGCTGGTTTTCCTAGGGACAGCACGGCAGCCTTATGTCAGAATCCTCATGGGTGTGCACACATGCACAAATGTGTCTGTAAGGACCGTGATGCTGGCAAAGACGAAAAACTGGCGAGACCCGAGCTCCTCATGGGCAGTTCGGGAGGCTGCAGCGCAGCTGGGAGGCAGAGGAAGGGCTGGCTGCGTGGGGCTGGCTCAGGGGCCCCAGCACGTCCGTCCTGTTCCGTGGCCGGAGTGTGAGCACAGCAGGAGAGGCTTGAGCTCTGTCCCCGTAACTTACACAGACACGTTGGAATAATTGGGTGTATTGGGTTAGATACACTGTATTAAAGTGAATTTCGCCGGTGTTCTCTTTAATGCAGCTCCTAGGAAATTTAAATTGACACCTGGGCTCCCATCATGTTCCTACGGGGTGGCGCTTCTGTGGATGGACACGTGGGGCTTTGTAATGCTAACCTCCAGCGGGGCCTGGGGTGGGGAGAAGGCGTGACAGCTCTGGACTTTCTCTGTTGCTGTGTTGAATGTTTTCATTGCACATGTTCATGGATGATGAAAGTGGGTACATTATTCCGATTTTTTAGCATTTGGCATAGTTGGCCAGGAAGTCTCACCCCCAGGAATATGGTTTATAGAAATTCCTGGGCCGGGCGCGGTGGCTCAAGCCTGTAATCCCAGCACTTTGGGAAGCCGAGACGGGCGGATCACGAGGTCAGGAGATCGAGACCATCCTGGCTAACACGGTGAAACCCTGTCTCTACTAAAAATACAAAAAACAACTAGCCGGGCGAGGTGGCGGGCGCCTGTAGTCCCAGCTACTCGGGAGGCTGAGGCAGGAGAATGGCGTAAACCCGGGAGGCGGAGCTTGCAGTGAGCGGAGATCGCGCCACTGCACCCCAGCCTGGGCGACAGAGCGAGACTCCGTCTCAAAAAAAAAAAAAAAGAAAAAGAAATCCCTGGAGCTCACAGAAGTGTAGGTGCAGGGAAACCTCAGGGAGGTCCTCAAAATGGGTCTGCAGAAGAATGTTGATGATGGTGTTTAAGGTCACAAAATTGAGTCTGTGATCCCATTTTGATAGAAAATGCTGTGAGTCACGTGGCTATGATAAGGCTGAGAAGGGCAAGAGAAACGCGCGCGGTCGTGGGCTGCTCCCGGAAACTCGCGCCCGGTGGGCTGTTCTCGGAGACGCGCGCCCGGTGGGCTGCTCTCGTCTTTGTAAATTTTCCACGTTGAGAATATTGACGCTGAGCTTCGAAGAGGAGCGCCTGGGGCAGGTGGGACCCTCACTCCCCACAGCCTCCGCACTCCCGCGCAGTCTGCTCCTTAGGTGCTCCCACGTCCTCTGTCTCTTCTTCGCGGAAAGCCCCCGGGTGGATGTTTTAAGTTGTCTTCATGCTGAGTTGGAAAAAGGCCCCCGTGTTGCCCGCAGAATATACCTGCTCCGGGTACGGCTCATTGGTGTCGTCAGCGCGTCTGCAGACTGACGTGTTTTGTCTTTGACTTAAGGCTCCCTCCACGCTGTTGCTTCATCCCCTGTAGGCTCATCGGAACCTGTCCCAGCTCCCAAATTTTGCCTTCTCCGTTCCACTGGCGTATTTCCTGCTGAGCCAGCAGACAGACCTCCCTGAGCACGAGCGGAGCTCTGCCAGGGAGAAGGCGTCTCTCTTGATACAGCAGGCGCTCACCATGTTCCCTGGAGGTGGGTGCCGCGTCTGGCCCGGGGTAGGGGTGTGTCCAGCCGTGGGGGAGGCCAGGTCCCAGTCCTTCCCCACACCTACAGAAATATGCATTTTCTGGTAGGGCCTGCAAACCTGCCCTACCAAACCTGAAAGATGATCGGCTCATCTCAGAACCCGCTGCATGCCACGCCAGGCGCGAGGAGGTGGCAGGCATCCTGACCCCCGTGGGGCTTGTGTTCTAGAGCGCAGAGACAGAGCTGGCTGGGCGGTGCCGGGCATGGGATTGTGCCAGTGCTGGGGAGGAGAACAAAGCAGAGGAAGGTCTCGGCAGTGCCCAGGCATGGCCGAGAGAGTTGTGCTCAGTACCATGCTGGGATGCAGAACGGAGGCCTGTGCTGTCCACACAGACTCAGCCTGCACAGCCCCTGAGCCCTGACTGCATCTGGGTAGCCTCGATCCACACACATGTGGCGGGCACAGTGAGGCTGCCACCTGGGCAGACCTCAGGGGCTGACCCTGCCTGACAGCGTGTGTGAAATCCGTCTTTAAGACGGGGCTCCTCTGAGGGGCTGTGAGGGGTGAGGGTTCTTTGCATGCAGCTGGTACACACACACTGCGTGACCACTCATCATCTATTAGAACGCCTTGGAAGCATCAACCCGTCCCTGGTTCTGTGGGTTTCTAGGGCTCTGTCTGGGTCCCGAGGAGGCCCACAGCATTGGGTTGGGCAGCTTCTAGCACAAGCAGAAATGTGCCCACCAGAGGAGCCTGGCCAGGCCTCAGTCTGCTCACTGACCCTGAAAGTTTCATCTCCTGTGTGTGAGAAGCACCTTTGTCCTCCTCTGGGCCGCATGCAGCTGGCCATGTGCTGTGGTCCACCAGTGCAGCCATGTCTGGGAGTGGGGCTGGGAGGCCCTGTCCTACAGGGCAGCTGTGCCGCTGTCTCACACGCTGTAGTGTCAGCTCCTCCCTCGAAGGCAGGCGGGCTCCCAAGAAGCCACTGCCACTTACCTCAGAGCACTGGAGATCACTGCAGGCATGGGGGTGGAACGGGCTCTGCCCTGGGGCCCATGCCCCCACATGGCGGCCTCCGACCTCGACACAGCCCTGCAGTGCTGGCCCTTCCACTGGGCACAGGTGGCCTCTGCTCCCACCAGCCTGCCGTGGGGTCCAGTGTTTGAGATTAAAACAGCCAACCCTGACCAGGTGCAGTGGCTCACGCTTGTAATGCCAGCACTTTGGGAGGCCGAGGTGGGCAGATCACCTGAAGTCAGGAGTTTGAGACCAGCCTGGTCAAAATGGTGAAACCCCGTCTCTACTAAAAATACAAAAATTGCCGGGCACGGTGGCTCACGCCTGTAATCCCAGCACTTTGGGAGGCCGAGACGGGTGGATCACGAGGTCAGGAGATTGAGACCATCCTGGCTAACCCAGTGAAACCCCGTCTCTACTAAAAATATTTTTAAAAAATTAGCCGGGCGTGGTGGCGGGCGCCTGTAGTCCCAGCTACACGGGAGGCTGAATGGCGTAAACCCGGGAGGCGGAGCTTGCAGTGAGTGGAGATCGCGCCACTGCACTCCAGCCTGGGCGACAGAGCGAGACCCTGTCTCTGAAAGAAAGAAAAACAACCCCACGTGTGTGGAGGGTGGTGGGTGAATCTTCTCTTGGATGCAGATGGGGACGCTGGGAGGCTCCTTGGGGCTGGCGTGAAGGAGACGCCAGCCTCAGACCCTGGGCACGCCAGCAGCAGCAACTCAGAATGCCACCCAGAAGCAAGCCGCTGGCCCTGCACTCTTCCACCTTAGAACAGCTGTGTCTGTGACCAGGACCTCACTGTGTCCGTTACCACCTCGGGGGCTGGGAGTGACCGGGTTTGTACTGAGGGCCCCCACAGAGCCTCCGCTTCCCCTGCAGTCCTCCTGCCTCTGCTCGAGTCCTGCAGCGTGCGGCCCGACATCACGGTTTCCAGTCACAGCTTCTTTGGACCCAACGCCGAAATAAGGTGAAGAGCGGCTGGCGGGGCTCATCTGTGGGTGCCTGTGGGTTCGGAGCCTGGGAGCTGTGTTCACTCATCCCGAGAGGCCGTGGGGGACCTGCTCCCGGCGGCAGGAGGGGCTGTGGCGGTGGCCTCAGGGACTATCATTTGACATGGGAGGGCTCAGGAGCCCCCTTCTCTGTGGGAAAGCCCAGGTGGGCCAGGTGATCAGCCTCCAGCTTAAAATCGAGGCTCATAAAGAGGGTGCCGGGCGTGGTGACACGCCTGTGATCAGCTTTTTGGGAGGCCCAGGTGGGAGGTTGGCTTGTGCCTAGGAGGTCAAAGCTGCGGTGAGCTGTTGTTGCTCCTGCACTCCAGCCTGGGC